GACGCTGCCATCAAGAACCACTTCGGCGACTTGATGGGCGAGCCGACCGACGAGTGCGGTGTGCCCGTCTACAATGCCGCGAAAGCTGCCGAGAAGCTCTCTGCCGGCAAGACCTACACCTGCGCTTGCCCGTTGTACTGGGCCAATCTTGGGTTCGAACTACAGCCCAACATGCCGAAATATCGTTCCAGGCTACAGAACCTCCGCGAGCACTTTTTCGAGAAGCCTGCCAAGATCCCCTGCAAGATCGTCGTCTTCTTGGAGAAGGACGAGCTGCCGCACAAGTTGAAGGGCGCCCTCAAGTGCACCGAACCGCCCGAGCTCCGTGACGCTTTCCGCCTCGCAGTCTTCAAGGCGGTGGATGAAGGGGCGCCTGCCAAGGTCCTCGCTGAGTGGCACGAGATTCTGCTGAGCTGTGAGTTCTCATTCGAGGCAGTCTCGAAATGTAATTGTGTTGCGTCAGTCAGACAGTAGTCGTCTGCGTTCCGAGCCAGAATTCAGGTCAAAGACAGCTCCTCACATGTGGAGCAGATCTTTAAGACGGTCGTTCAGGCGAGGGAGGACTTGGGCGTCCTGAGGGACAACACGGAGGTGACTCCCCTCATGCGCATCTACGAAGTGGTGGATTTTAAGAAACAAATGGAGGCCAGCGAGAACAAGAAATTGTCGAAGTCCAGCCTCGCAAGCCTCTACGACTCGGTCAAGTATGCGAAAAAAACCGAGCCTGTCAAAGCCGCCTACATCGAGGTGGCGATGATGCTCCACCGCTCCTGCCTCTCGTTTCCGGCCGTTCGCAACATTCTGCAAGCCATGGAGCAGCTTGACGTTTGTCCTCTGGACTCCGTGTACAAGATTCGCGAGGTCACCGTGCAATGCGAGAAAAAGGAGAACCTCCAGCAATGGGTTTTCACAATGCTGATGGACTGGTGGCAAAGGGTGGATGGGTGTGACACTGTGCCGATCCGCAGCCTCAAAGAGGGACCTGACCAGGTTTCTCTTGTTCGCTTGTTTCTCTTCAAGCGCACATTGAGGGACTACCTCATGAGGGAGATGGATTTGAAGTTTGCTGCGTGGAGCGAGGCCATCCGCGCGGAGATCCGACGATTGGCCAGCTGCATGGAAACCTTCCGGTCCGAGCTGGGCTACATCGACGACAAGCCTGTTGGCGGCGGCTACCAGCAACGAGGAAGTTGGCCGTCCAGCGCGGACAACTTCCTGCTCTTGTTGGAAAACCTCATCTACGGCTACCGGTTTGACGGGATCCTGAAGCTAAACATCAAGTCACGCCGCAGCGCGGAGGATACGCTGAATCATGCTGAAATCCGGCCCCTGGTCCTGTTTAATTTTTGGAGTTCGGAATAAGAACGGCCAGATTCAGATTAAAATAATAACATTGAGCGCAGGTCTTTCATTTCCCGAGTCACAACGGCTTATGATACCGAGAACTCCGCGAACCCAACGCCTGAGGAAGGCGGTACGGATCAGCAGGCTGGCGCTGACTCCACGAAGGTTCTGGACGACGCTGCCATTGCCAACCTCTCCGAGGCCGAGAAGATCATGCATGAGGCCACGGAGGCTGAGAAGGGTTCCGACGTGATGCTGCGGATCCAGAGCGGGGTGCGCATGGCCCAGCGAAAAGTCCAAGGGCAGTCCACCTTCATCATCGACAATGCTTCTGACGAAGGACAGTTGGCGAAGGACCTCAAGAACTCATTGGCCGCTCAAGCCAGAGGAAACCCGGACGTGCAAGCTTATGTTGTGATTGTGGTGGACGTCAAGTTGCTTTGCGAAAGCGGCAGCCAGGGCCGCTATCGCATGGGCCCAACTCGTCCGGCTCAGCTGCGGCGCCTTCTCAATGCTTTGCTGGCATCGCGGCCGGACGGAGATCTTGACGAGGGGGATGTCCTCCTGGTGCTCGACGGTGGAAAGGGAGGGGGCAATGTCGCCTCCTGGGTGGAGTCTGCGGTCTGCAAGCTGCTCCCGTCGAAGAGATACCAGCAGGTGCACCAGACCATCCTCTACACCCATGACTCCATCGAGCAGCGGATGGAGAGAGCGAGCAAGTGCCCGCTGCAGCTCACGGAGACGGCGTCGTTCATCACGTTGAACACTGCCGTGAGCTTCAAGATCCAGAGCCGCTTGCACTGCGCAGGCAACACCCGCGGCAACGTGCTGGGCCCGTTTGCGAAGCCGGAGTGGAACGACAGCTCCAAAGTCTGGCAGGTCACACTGGCGGCAAAGAAGGACATATTCGGCTCAGACAACCTCCCACTTCCCGGCGGTCGGCTGCCAGTGGCATTGGATGAGGTTGAAGATGGAGCCGATGGTGCTGCGGAGCAGGACGGAGCAGCGAAGAAGAAAGCACGGATCCGTGCCAATGACCTGGTGCCATGCTTCTACCACGAGTGTGCAGAGTCGGTGTCGGCTGAGCTGGCCCACAGCCTGCGGCCGGTGTCAGTCCTGGACTTGACACCAGGCTCAGGCCACTGGGCTTACTACTGCATCAGGCACAGGGTCAGCTACACGGGGATAGTCTTCACACCAGAGCACAAGCAGGCGCTCATGGACAAGCTTGCGTCAAGGGTTCTGTGTGGCATGGTGGACAGCAACGACACGAAGCTGTACGACCCAGCGTTCGCCAAGGACGTGCAGCAGCAGAGCGAGCAGAGCACCGAGAACAACAACAGCGGGAGCGGCGGGCGTGGACGTGGCAGGGGCCACGGCGGTCGCGGTGGCAGAGGCGGGCGTGGCCGCGGCAATGGCGGCGGTACTGATCCGAGTGTCGGCAGTTGCCAGACCAGTGCTGGCAGTGGCAATGGCGGCGATGGCGCTGACGGCACTGGGGGCACCGGAAACGAGCAGGGCGGCCAGGGCGACGAGGATGGCACTGGTGGCGATGGTGGGGACCGCAAGGCGCTACTGAACAAGATCCAGGATGCCATGAAACTTGTTTAGAATTTTCCGAGAGCGCCTGAGCCCAAAGAACGCTCGCCAGATGTAACTGGAGAGGTTCCGAAATTTTAAGCGTGAGAGGTGTGTTCTGCAGCCGTGGCATAAGGCATAAGTAGTCAAAACGGATGACCATGGGATTTGAATGGCGATCATGGTGCAGAGCCACTACTCAGCAGATCAGTGGTCGTGTCAGGGGCCATCACATTATACCATCCGCCCGAGCAGGAACCGTCAGACAGCGCCACAACATGTGCTCGTGCAGACATGTCACAGTTGAACTGCTTGGAGTGAGAGCATGCTCAGCGGTCTCAGTCCTCAACCACATTATTGGATTTAATTTAGCTCAAGGTATTTCAGTTGAAGTTCCCAGCACCATCATCAAGTCATGAAAAGGCCAGCGGTGGCGGTGTCACGCCCAGTGCCAGAGGGGCCGCCTTGCGACCCTGTGAGAAAGAAGCAGTGCATCAAGAAGCGGCCAGCATCGGCATCCCAAGCTGCTTCAAAGGTCCAGGTTTGGTACTGTTCCGACTGCTCTGGCCTTGACGTGGCGGCTATGGCATTACGTCGCCTTGGAATCAAGTTTCGGTCATGGTTTGCGAGTGAGATTGAGGATCGCTACCGCGACGTGTACTGCAAGCTTCACCCGGAGACGGAGATTGTCTACACTGACTGCACGAAGCGTGCCCTGCAACCGCTCGCGCAAGAGCGGTCGGCTCACCCGTCTGCTTACCTGATCTACTGCGCAGGCTTTCCATGCCAACCATTCTCAAACGCAGGCCTGCACTTGGGCAGCGAGGACCCAAGGTCTGACGTGCTGAGAGCAATCTTGTCCACGGTCCGAGCTCTGTTGCCTAATTTGGTGCTGCTGGAGAATGTGGCTGAGCTTGTGCTTAACAAAAAGTACGAGGATGTGAAAAACTACCTCTTCCGTGAGCTCGGCAAGATCGCCGGCGGCGCTTACCAGATCAGCCACAAGGACAGTTTGAAACAAAGCCCCTAGCAAACCCCTAATAAATTATGACATGTAAAATACCTCCCTAAACTCTAACAAACCCTAAACCTTAACAAACCCTTAAACCCTAACAAACCCTAAAACCCGTACAGTTCAAATTACGAGGTCATGGACAGCCACGAGTACGGGGGAGTTCCTGCCAAACGCCGCCGAGTCTACGTGGTGGCCACCCTGACTCCGGGTCGGCGCTCTATCATGGTCTGGCCTTCGCCCATTGAAGCTCCGCCGCTCAAGTCCATCTTGGAGCACCGCAAGCCTGGGCAGACGGCGAATCTCGAGGAGTTCAGCAAGACATTCTTGAACAATTTGTCCAAGGGCATGGAGCTTATCAAGAAGAAGTCCCCAGGTTTTAAAGTCTCAGACCCGTGGATCTTGGACTTGGCACCCTCCGATCAATATGGGCCCTCAGTGAAGTTCGACTGCTTCCCTACCGTCACTGTCTCGCACGCCAACTCTTACTATGTGCTATGCAAGAAAGACCTTGCAACGTGCAGGGAGATTCTGGCAACACAAGGCATTCGGTGGTCTGACTTACGACTTGCCCCTGGAGTAGAAATCTCTGAACGAACTCTGAAGTGCATGGCGGGCAATGCCTTCACTCTCACGGTGGTCGAGCGCATCTTCCAGGGAGTCCTGAACAAGATCTTGCCGCAAGTCTCTAAGTCTAAATGATAGGCGTAGCTTTTTGAGCCGTAGTTCGCCGGAGAGTGTGTTCTGCCACTGGTGTCAGCAACAGGAATCGCGAACTGTAGAAGAAAATCCAAATCGTACTGCTGCAACTTGAAACTGTAGGGTGCGACGATCGTAGGAGAACTGCAGTCAGTCAGTCAGTCGCTTGCGGCAAACGCACTACGGCGATGGGTACAAAGCTTTCAGCATCTTCTGCAGAACTTTGTTCTGCTGGAGAGCCTTGCCTGACTGAGCCTGGTCTAAGCGGCCGTATCCATCAAAAGTCTTCTTGTGCTTTATGCGTGCATACACCATCGCTACCTCTGGTGAGCAGCCTGATGACTTGAAGTCGTTGATGCGTCTGTGTCGGGCACTGTGACTGCGAATCTTGGAGGTGTCGAGCATCACTGCAAGGGATGAAGGCGGGCGGAAGCTTTTTCGAGCTCTCACGATATTATGGCAGACAATGTCCTTCGTCATGGGCCCTGAGCCTTTCCTGTTAGGAAATAGAAACTCCTTTCCTTTAGGAAAGTGCCAACCGTCTGTGATTGTTCGGCTGCCGCAGGCACCCCATCGCTTCGTGCGGCGGCGCACCTTGCCCCGCTTGCGTAGATGCCGCAGCATGGGAAGGCACGATGACATGATCATTTTCTTGACCTGCAGGGGGCAAGCTAGGCCTAAAGCCCTAAACCCTAAACCTCTCTACCAATGTATATTTAAACCTTCAAGTCTTCGTGGCTTATGGTCAAAACTCGTGGCTTGTGGTCAAAACTCGTGGCTTATGGTCAAAACTCGTGGCTTATGGTCAAAACTCGTGGCTTATGGTCAAAACTCGTGG